GTTTGGTTTGATTGGCTGGCTGGCTGGAGCGCCATGGTTTAGACACCTGGCTGTGGAATCAGAGGTTGAAATTTTGATTCCCCACTGTGGCTCCTGGACGTAGAGCCATCCCGGGTGGCCCTGGGCAAGCTGCACAGTCCCAGGCCGCCCCCCAGAGGAAGGGAACGTAAACTACTTCTGAGTGCTCTCTACCTAGAAAACCTTGAAAAGGATCATCCTAAGTCAGAATCGAGTTGATGGCACATCATTATTATTTGGTTTGGTTTGGTTTTTGGCTACAACTTCAGAATTCTCAACCCAGTATGGGGATAATTCTACAGATACGTATCTTTGAATTCTACTTGGGAGAAGATCTGTTGGTGAAAATTTACTTTTTCTTTTTCTTTTCAGCAAACAAGTCCAGTGAGCGCCATGCTTGTATTGGTAAAGCCGCTAAAAGGACCACGAGAACATATCATTGACCTCGAGCTGCTGACCGTCAACAATATGAACTATCGGTCAAGCTCAGTGCTCAGGTTAACACTGATTGTAGGACCTCATCCATTTTAGTTGCCGCCGTTAAGTAACCTGCACGCCTCCAGAGCAACCAAAGAAATTTCCTCTTAAATGAAGCACTTATGGTTTTATTTATAGATTTTATGTGGTGTGTTGTTTCTAAAGGAAAAAAAAACATCATTAAGGAAATCAGTAGTTGTAACCACACTGTTAACGCTTTTAATGTCAATGTAGTATATGTGTTTCACAGTATAACCTGGGCATTGCCACTTTCTGTATAAAGATGGCATTTCTTCCTTTTTCTTTTGATACTTGGATCAATTGTCCATTGGCAGCACATGACGCACTCTTCTTCTGCTAAATGTGTGGAGCAAGGTCAGTGAGATCACGCACTCTGGCCCCAGTTAAGAGCATGGGTAATCAGCAGAACAGAGTGCGAACAGAGTGCCATGCATGTACATGCAAAGGCTAACTGCACCCCGATCAGAGTCCTTGAATACGTGGGATTTCCAGTCTTGTGGAACATAGCAATTCTAAGAAGAGCCCTGATGGGTTTTAAAACCAACCTTTGGAGAGGGAAGGGACTCCAAAAGTCTACCCCAGTGCCAGTACAGGAATGCATAGCTAAAACATCCTGACAGGTAGCCCTCCAAGATCTAATGAGATAGGTCCACCACTTTTCAAAGCAGTACGATCCACTGTCAAAATCTCCTTTCTTGTAAATTCGGATCCCTTGTTTCAGGTCCTGCTCTTGGGAGTAACAAAACAAGTTGGCTCTGTCTTCCATGTAACAAGCCTTCCGCTTCTCCAGGTTAAGCATACCCAGAAAACCTCAAGCATTCCTCACAGGGCTTGGTTTCCAGACTTTTGCCAGCTTTGTTGACCTCATCTGGACAAGTGCCAGATGGTTGATCTTCTTCCTAAACTATGGTGCCCAGAGATGAACATGGCACCCCAGTTGAGATTTCACTGAGGCTGAATAGATACCCTTACTTGCTTTGATCTGGACGCTGGCTTTCTGTTGAACGCATCCTACTGTTGCCTAGAACAAGATTAGAGGCCTCTTTCACCCAGCGTTCTGCTCCCACAGTTGCAAGCTCGATATCCCCTGGGAGGTCCACGGGTAAGACATGAGTGCCATAACACTCTCCCACTCATGTTGCCCAGCAGTTGATAGTTAAGAGTCTATAGGCATGAGGACTACTAACCATTAATTTAGCTTTCACAAAATTGCCTTCAAGAATCTACACCAGCTTCCTCCTGCCCGTCTCCCTCTCGTTTGTTGGACTAGAACTCCCTTCCTTCCTGAAAGTAATGGGAGTTATAACGCAACACATCTAGAGTGCACCAGGATGAGCTATGAGGCTCTGTTCACATTCTTCTACAGATCAAGATTGGTCACAGGCCATAGAGTACCTCTTAGTCACTTCCCACCCAACCAGACTCTTCTATGTATTCAATGACGGTAGTTTGAAGATGGGAATATGGCTCATGTTATTTCATGAAGTGTGGGCCTCTTCCTAGAGTACCTGAAAAGCCTCTTCCATTTTCCTTCCCCAAAATAGTTTCAAGACCAAATACTTTAACATTGGAGCAATCCCACATGAGTGTGCATACGTGTGTGCACGTTTTAATAGAATACCACTTTTATCCGATTATTTGGGGGTGGTGTGGGGGACAAGTTCCTCAGGCAACACATCTCTCCATGCCAGGACTTTTTTGTTTATTTCAATATCAGAAGCCTATCCATATGTACATGATTCTGTGGTCGAAAGGGCACAGCCAGTATGTAGAAGAGTTTCATTGGGTGCCTACAATTATGTGCAAGGTCAAAGGACACGACCCAGTCAAAGAGCACTACAGTTAATGTCCACTGTTATGAGAGTCAATGGGATTGAAATGTGCTGTTTTGTGCTGAACTAATGTTGATGGTATTATGAGTATGTGAGAGAGAGAGTGTGTGTGTGAATATGTCTGTGTGTGTGTGTCAGTGAGAGAGATCGAGAGAGATCATGAAAACAAATAGGCCAACAAAATGCAGATTCCATCATTCCATCAGTTTATCATGAAAACAAATAGGCCAGCAAAATGCAGATTCCATCATTCCATCAGTTTGACTCAAACAAGTAAAAAGGAATAATGTCTAAGGTACCTCACGAAGGCTTTCACGGCCGGGATCTAATGGTTATTGTGGGTTTTTCGAGCTCTTTGGCTGTGTTCTGAAGGTTGTTCTTCCTAACGTTTCATCAGTCTCTGTGGCCAGCATCTTCAGAGGACAGCACTCTGTGCTCTGCTGTAGTTTGCTTGGGAGTGGAGTATCTATGGCTGTGAGATAGGCTTTTGTCCTTTTCAGGAGATGGGTGATTACAAAAGCCTATTTCACAGCCATAAATACTCAACTCCCAAGCAAACTACACCAGAGCACAGAGTGCTGTCCTCTGAAGATGCCGGCCACAGAGACTGGCGAAACGTTAGGAAGAACAACCTTCAGAACACGGCCAAAGAGCCCGAAAAACCCACAACAACCATCTAAGGTACCTATTTGCTATCTTGTTGGGTTTTAAAAAAACTAAGATTTAGGATTAACCAACATCATAAAGAGAAAATAGTTTGCACTGGGCGTTTCCTGAGCTCCAGATACTGGGCAGATCTTTTCTACTTAAACATACCACTCATTAACATTTTATCTTTTCTGAGAAAAATGGGACATAAGTAGAAAGCTCTGCCAATGATGAGTGAAGCTCCCAGTGGGGTAGAAAACCTCATTCAGAGAAATATTTCTGTATGAATATTGATGCTTGTGACACAGAACAAGCTTTCTTGTTCCTGAGCAAAGGGGCTAGAGAGAAATATATGTTTGTATACTGAGATTCACCCAATCTAAAAAACAGCTGTTTGTAAGTTGTTCTCTGTTTTTTTGTAAGTCGTTTTTGGCTTAGGTTTGTGTATTTTCAGAATTTGGGATCCAAATTGTTGGCTTCCCTCTGTTAAGCTTTCTACAGTATGACATTGACTTAACCCACCCTAAAAATCTGTTTTATAACTCAGATTTGCAGTTCTGTCCGTACATTGTTCATTAAAGAAAAGAAATCATCGTAGGACGCAGAACTAAAGGTTTCCTTTTATATTAAGCAGAACCTCTCCTTTCTTCTCTAAAACCATAACAATGAACTCTTTGATGTACAATTTTTTTTGGAAAAATAAATAAACGAACATGCCTGTTTTAGCAGGACTCATTTTGTCTTACAAGTTATTTTAAGTTAAAAGATAGCTCAATGAAACCAGATTCAGCAGCTGGTAAATGTCAACACTAATGTCACAAGAACGCACTAGTTTACATCAGAGGCACATCTGACCGTAAATTAGCAGCAGGGCATATGTTTCCTTGTATCTTCAAGAAAAAGGACTTTAGAGAACAGGGCTCAAAAAGAAAAAGAAGAAAACCAAATATCTGGTGAATAGTTTCCTGTCCCGGTGGGCATTTCAGAATGAAATGAATCTTAAGCCTGCCCTAACATGGTGTGCATGCATCTCAAGTTGTCCAAGCCCACCAGGTCTAGCCACATAGGTCTGACTGCTTGTCCATTTAACTCTGCAATAGATGTTCTGATCGGCAATATCTTTGAGGTCATTGTTTTGGGAGGTACAACTTCCCAAATCAATGACTTTTGGGAAATGCTGAGAATTGTCCAAAAATGTAATTCTGGTTTCTGATTTCATTGTTTTAGCTAGAACTGCAGGTGATTCAAATCTTGAGTCTTCTTCCTCAGGAACTGGAGAGCGATGGTCCTCCAGATGTTTCATGGGCTATAATATCTACTCTCTCTCTCCTCGTTGGGTGTGCTGGCTAGGGCTGAAGGGCTGATGTTGCAGATGAACAACATCCAGAGTGGTCCGTATCATTTCTCCATGCCAGTCATATGCTCGGTCACTAGACTATGAAATAGGCTATGACGCTGCCACCTACGCAGGACATTGTCTGCTATGTTGCCACCTAAGTATGGAATTTGGTCTGGGGTGCAAGCTTCATCATATAGTGAGGTGAATACAACCAGAAGTCTATGTAGGCCTGGTTCTGCTACTAGAAATGATAGCCCTACGTTTCATCCCCCTCTCCTTCTGTTATCCATTACTAGAAGAGGCATTTTCCTCCTCCCTGCCTCTTACCTCATAAGACAATGGCAGCTGCTAAGCAGGAGATCCTAGGTCTCTTAAGGCGAAGTTGGCCTTTGAAAGTGATGCTCTATTTGTCAAATTAGATTTGTAGTAAAAGCACATATCAGGCTAGCTCAGAGTTTTGGAAAGTTATCTTTTTAAACCCTGGCTGGATTCTTCTGGGAGATATAGTTTAAAAAAAAGCAACAACTCCATGATCCATCTCCTACTCTGAGGTCAGAACTTTGTCTAAGGCAATGGCAGGGAACATTTTCAAGTCCAAGGACCAAACTTAATTTCGGGTATTTTTGGGGGATCACATGCCGCCGGTGGGTGGAACCAAAAATAAATGGTCACAACCAAAAATACCAGCACATTTTAACTTAGAAAATTCAGAGCCAGTAACTAAGCCTTAAGAGTGGTGTTTTGTTTTGTTTTTTAAACTGGGGGAAAACCCATTCAGAATTCAACAAACCAGGAAGCGATGGTGCATGCGGATGGGGTGGTGACCACTTAGGTAGCTCCCAAGAAGGCAGGAATTGCCACCAGGGGCTAAGATTCCCCACTTCCCAGAGAGATTCCTTCAGCCAGTCCTGAGGACACGACCTAAGAAGAGTGGGGGATTCAGGGCTTTGCCCCAGGTCGCCAAATGTAGGGGGTTCCCTCCTCTCCCTCAGCCAAACTTCCAAGAATTGCCTAGCAGCTTGGTCTACCACCAGAGGAAAACACAGCAATGGACCAGTGCAGGGAGAAAGTTTTTTTACATATGAGGTCCCATTGAGGCAGCGTAAAGCAGGTCTAAGGTAAAGGTAAAAGTTCCCCTTGACATTTAGTCTAGTCGTGTCCAACTCTAGGGGGCAGTGCTCATCTCCACTTCCAAGCCGTAGAGCCAGTGTTTATCCATAGACAGTTTCCATGGTCACGTGGCCAGCGCAACTAGGCACGGAATGCCGTTACCTTCCCACTAAGGTGGTACCTATTTATCTACTCGCATTTTTACATGCTTTCTAACTGCTAGGTTGGCAGGAGCTGGAACAAGCGACGGGAGCTCACTCCGTTGAGTGGATTCGATCTTACGACTGCAGGTCTTCTGACCTTGCGGCACAGAGGCTTCTGCGGTTTAACCCGCAGCGCCACCATGACCTGGTTTACCCAGGGCTGAAAAAGGAGATAGCATCTAGGAACTGCATTGTGAGTCTGGTCCTTGGTAGATTAAGTCTTTGGGCTGGCTAGTGTAGGAAATCAGCTTATTTCTCTCTCTCTCTCTCTCTCTCTCTCTCTCTCTCTCTCTCTCTCTCTCTCTGTGTGTGTGTGTGTTTGTGTGTGTGTGTGTGTGTGTGTGTGTGTGTGTGAGAATGAGAGAGAGTGAGACTGACTCAAAACTGAAAAAATGAACAGGCAAGAAGAATGGAAAGCTTGAATTAAGGAGGGTGAAAGGGGGGCTTCATCAAGCTTGTTTAAATGTAATGAGAGGAAATGGACATACTGAACTGAAGCAACTAATTGTTGAAAATTGAGGGAGGAAGGGTTTGTGTGTGTGTGCATGAGAGAGAGAGAGACAGAGACAGAAGGACTTGACTCTTTCATAAAACCATGAAAAAGGGAACCTGCTAAAGTGTCATCACCACTGCATTTACTGTAGCTCTGCAGTTTCTGCTGAGAACAGCAGAAGTCTGAAGTGTGTAGCAACCACGTTTCTCTATTTCTCATCCCCAAGCAGACTAGAGTATCATAGTTCATTCCCAAAATCTGAATCCCAGTCTTTCTGCTCCTGGTCCTACTTTAACTGCAGCAAACAAAACATTCTATACAAAACACACTTTTGATTTATTTTTCTAGCTCCCAGTGCTGATGACTCCCTGTAGACGAGGGGAGATACTTGTGGGGTGTTCCATGAAGTGACTAATTTTGTATTATTTTCAAATCATGCTGGGGTTTTTTCTGGGGCGGGGTGTGTATGCATGCTGTGCTGTTTGCCCTGAATAATTGCTAAGTACAGCTCTGAGCCCAAGGATGCATAGCTTATTCTGGGCTTCCGACTCAGATTTGTTTTAACACGGCATTGAATTTTATAATCTTGAGAACTGCTTTGTATGCCTTTATCAGACAGACCCACAGTATGCAATTTAAAGGAGTGGACCATGTCCATTCCAGAGGGCCACTCTCTCCTGCCACTCTGGCTCTGTTTATTTGGTCCCATAATCACGATTATGGGCTCGGAAGGCTTTAGGAATGGACCTCAATAGATGGGAAACCTTCACATCTGAGCGTTCAGCCTGGAGGCATGCGGTGCATCACGGCCTCTCCCAATTTGAAGAGACCCTTGTCCAGCAGGCCGAGGCAAAGAGGCAGACCCAAAAAACAGCAAAATCGGGGAGCTGGACAGGGGACAGATTGTATTATTTTTCTTCAGTGTGGAAGGAATTGTCACTCTCAAATTGGCCTCCTCAGCCACACTAGACGCTGTTCCAAGTCCTCTGTTCAGAGCACGTTGCCATAGGCTCTCGAGACTGAAGGATGCCTAATCTA